CTCCTGAAGTACGCATTGTCCTGAGTAGACCCCCTGACGCGCGCAGCTTCTCATGCGAGGCCATGGCCTCGCCCGCCTCGCCCTCAAGGGGCCCGGGCGCATGCCCGCACAGGCGTTCCGTTCCGTTCCGCCCCCGAGCGAAGGAGAAGAAACGGCATAAGCAGAAAATAGTGTTCGAAGTCGGGCTTGTCCCTCTACAGGGGGGAAATGCGAAATAGTCAAAAAATAGGCGGGGGGCTATTGGTTTAGGATTTTTGGGGGCATCTTTTTGCGCATGTTTCGAGTATTCCTAATTCTTCGCCCAAAAATTCCCGTGTAGGGGGACACGCCCGACTTCGAAATAGTCGGCGCTCCGCGCGGACTTCTGGGATCCGCGCCCGGAGCCGCCCTGGCAGCGCCTCGGGCGCCGCCCCTGGAGCGCGGAGCGCGCCGGGGGGTCCGGCGCGGATCCCAGGAATCCGCGCGGAGCGCCAACACCTTGTGTTTATGCCGTTTTATGTTTATGCTTTATGTAGGGGATCGACTACAGAATTGATTTACCCTAAAATAGACTTCCTCGTCGACTCTACCAGAATAGCGGAATGATCTACGAACGTTCTACGTATTCCTCTCGTATACTCGACGAGAAGATCAATTCTGGGGTAAACCAATTCTGTAGTCGAGCCCCTACTCGAGCTGTGGCTGCCTCCAGGCTGGCCATCGTTGGCCTCCCCGCGGGCGCCAAGCGGGGCGAGGCCTCGTGGTCGTCCAGGTGCCCCGACCCGCCGCAGGGCATGAGCGTCATCGGCCTGGACCCGAACAAGCAGCAGGACCCAGTCTCGTTTTGTCCTCGTCCTCGTGCTCTCGAAGAACTTGGCATCGCTCGGGCGTGTGCATTTTCCCTTCGGCGAGGGCCATCGAGGAGCATCCTTGATCATGTGGCGAAAAAACCACGCACGAAACCGAAAAAAGCACAGGGAATGGACGTCCGAGCGATGGCCAGAGAAGAGAAAACGCCATAAGCATTCACCTTTGGCGCTGCGCGCGGATTTCTTGGATCCGCGCTGGACCCCCGCGGCGGCGCCTCCAGCGCCGCCCCTGGCGCGCTCCGCGCGCCAGGGAGGGGGGTCCAGCGCGGAACCAAGAAATCCGCTCGGAGAGCCAAAAGTTGTTATAGCGTTGTTTCTTATTTTGCTATCCTCGTCTTCTTGTTCATCGTCTTGCCGATCGGTACGGGCCCTCGCACCCCCTCCCCCCCACCCCCCATGGAGGAAATCTTTGCTGTTTTTGGCGCCTGTTTCAAGCAGGCGGAGTCTCCCCCATAGGACGCGCAGTCGCAACAGGCAGAGGTTCGGAGCCAGACCCCCCCCCTCCCCACCCCCCCTTCCGCCCAATGTCGAAACGCCGAATCAATAACATGTTCATTTTGACCGATCCCTCGAGTAGGAGATCGACTGCGGAATTCATTCGCCCCAAGACTGCTTTCTCGTCGAGTATACGAACATAAGCGTATCTTATTTCGTAGATCTGCGAACATTGTACGTTTTTGTTGCGTAGGCTCGGCGAAACAATCAAGTCTGCGGTAAATTAATGTTGCAGTCGATCCCCCACTCGAATCCTTATCCCAATCAGGATCGTTTAACTGGTCTGGGAGGCAGGGGTGAGGTAAGGGGTAAACCGTATAACCCCTCCCCGAAAGAGAAGAGGGAAGAGGGAAGAGGAAACTCGCTAAACCACTCACGCCCTCTCAAGGGTTAGTGGGATTAAGTATCGGTTCGATTCCTAGCTCTCTTGTGGTAATTAAGGTCAGTACCGTTTAACTGATCCCAATCTCCACTCTCATCCCGATCCCCACCATCCCACCACCCCAGTTGGGGATATGCCCCTCGAAACTCGAAGGGAGCAGCCCAAATCCCAATCGTGTGGGGGTAAATCGGCCAGTGGGGCCCAGGCCACGCCCATACGGGTAGGGATCGACCAAACGATGATCAAGGACTTCGACGAAATCATAGTGACGTCAGCATAGATGTTGGGGAGGTCCGCGCGGACGTCTTGGGTCGGCGCCGAACCCCTTGGCGGCGCAGATCTGGCGCAGATCCAGCGCAGGTCCAAGCATCTGGGCAGCAGGGGGGTCCCAGCGCAGATCCAATGAATCCGCGCAGATCGATTGTGCAGTTTTTGTTCGACTACTTGTGTTGGGCGTGAGGAAAATTCACCCCCCCGACACCAGCAAGCGGCGTTTACACAACGGCCTTGTGTATTTACTGCATGCCTGTCGTGTTCGATTCCTCCTTCGGTGCGCTTGCTAAACGGCTTCGCTCGTCGGGGTGCTCATTATGAGGGAGGTGCGTTTGCTCTGCAAATGTTCCTCTCCTAGGGCTACCGGGCGTGCCTGAAGAACTCCACCGCCGTTGAAAGAATGTATTTCTGGATCCTCGGGATCCAAACGACTTTGGGCGCCCTCCACTTTGCAAGGGTCGGGTGGTGTTCCCACATCCCTCGTCTTCGGGGAGGGGGCGGAGATCCAAGGTACTTTTCGAGTAGGGGATCGACTACAGAATTGATCTGCCCCCAAATTGATTTTCCGTTGCATCTGCGAGAAATACGTCGGATGTTCCGTAGATCTAGTGAGCATTCTACGTCATGTCCGCAGCTTCGACGAAGAGACCAATTTCGGGGCAAACCAATTCTGCAGTCGATCCCTCATTCGACCTTTCGGCGCCGTCCTGCTCCATGTGTCTGCCCACTTCTTCCGACTTCTGGGTCTGCAGTTCTTCCCATCCCAGGACTACTGGGCGTGCCTGAAGAACTCCAGCGCCGACTACTACGGCGGGGGCGGCTCCGGCTCCGTCGTCGGCCCCGACCCAGTGACCCCGGCGGAGGCCATCCAGGAGCGCGCCAAGGACCGGGCAGTGCCAAAGGGGGCTTCCTCCTCATCCTCATCCTCCGCCTCCTCCTCCGCCTCCTCCTCGACCTCCTCCTCATCATCATACTCCTCATCATCATACTCCTCCTCCTCCTCCTCCTCCTCCTCCTCTTTTCTCAAGTGGGGCAAGCATGAGCGACGAGGCTGCTGCGATGCTTCTCTGCACGACACCGGCGAGCGCACGAGCATCGGACGGCCATCGGCGGCGTCACCGCAGCGGAGGCCGAGCGGCGCGGGGAGGCGGCGAAGAGAGGCGCGGAGAGGCGGCGAAGGCCTCTGCACAGGGCGAGGAGGGGCGCGGAGAGGCGGCGAGGAGAGGCGCGGAGAGGCGGCGAAGAGAGGCGCGGAGAGGCGGCGAAGAGAGGCGCGGAGAGGCGGCGAAGAGAGGCGCGGAGAGGCGGCGAAGAGAGGCGCAGAGAGGCGGCGAAGAGAGGCACAGGGCACCAGATCTGCAGGCCTCGGTAAGTCGCCTGAAGTCGGGCCTGTCCCGTCTACAGGAGGAAGATTCCCAGCAAAAGTTATTCTTATATATATGCTGATATTTTGACAGTAGCGATAGTAGTTATACTAAGACGTATTGCTAGAACGATTAAAAACCAAAAAAACATCTGGGGACGATTCTTCGAATATCTTTGACAATGGTAGGGTACTTCGGGGGGTACTTCTTGTTTGTCGTCCAAAATCCGCCTGCAGGGGGACATGCCCGACCTGAAAGTAGTCCTCTCCCACCCCGCCCAGCTCCAGAGTCCGATCCCTCCCGTGGCAAGGGCCCTCACCGGGGGCAGTTCAACTTCTCAAATGCCCTGTCCGAGGGAGTATACAAGCAGATTGCGGGATGTGTCACCCTCCGCCTCCTCCTCAATCCAACCAGCACGCTCCGACAGCCCAAACCCTACTGCGCTCACCGAGCGTCTGACGGTCGTCTCGCTTGGCATTTCACTCTCCAATCGGCAAAAGCTTGGGTTCCTGAAAACAATATTAACGATGGCGGCTGACCAGCAGGTGCAGAAGTTGCGTGCTTGCCCTCATCGAGGGTCTTGTTGGCGCCTCTCCCCCACTCACCCACCACCTCAATCCTCTGTGCACCAACCTCCCCCCTCGCAAACGCTACTGCTCTCACCGAGCGCATGCCGGTCATCTCGCCCGTGGCGGTCGTCTCGCTTGGTATCTCACTTTCCATTTGGCAGAAGTTGCTACTGAACATGATAGCCATGGAGGCGAAACAGCAGGTGCAGAAGTTGCGTGCTTGCTCTCGTCGAGGGTCTTGCTGGCGCTCGTCCCCCACTGACCCACCACTTCAATCGTCCCCCAACCTCCCCCCTCACAAACGCTACAGTGGAGGCCCATGCCACGGAACACCCTGCTTGCCTCCAGCGTGCCCTGGGTGTCTTGGGTTTCGATGGTTTTGCTATGGAAAGCGTGACGTTCCCGCACCAAAAAGCAGTGGACGTCCTGGGGTCTCAGGGCTGGGCTTCCCGTGGAAGGCCTCCTGTGGACTGGCCTCCACTGCACTGCGCCCGGCGGTCGACTCGCTCGGGGCGGTCGTCTCGCTCGCCACCTCGCCCTCACGCCAGCACGGGTGGGGCCACCCCGAACGACGAGGCCAGGTAAAGTCAACCCGCATAGTAAGGATGGGCAGCCTTCCCAAGGGTACGCCTGCATCCTTGCCCCCATCGGTCCATCCGTCGCCACGTTCGTTGGCCGCGCCCCGCTCGAAGAGCTTCGACTTGGGCGTCCAAGGCCCTTGCATCCTCATCGCGCATCCTTACTGCACGGGTTGGCGGTGGCCTGCAGGCGCGCTGAAGGTGCAACGCCTGCCCTCCTCGAGGGCCCTGCGGGCGCTCCGCCCCAGTCGAAGGTGCCTCCATCGGCCTCGCCGCCCTCGCCGAGGGCCCCTGGCGGTCCCCGCGCGCTCGTGGCGGTCCACTCGCTCGGCATGCTGCTGCCCACTCGGGGACGAGCAGCGCTAGAGTTAGGTCGGGCCTGTCCCCCTACAGGGGGATTTTGGACGAAAAATAAAGAATACCCCACAAAATATTCCCAAATGATCAAACATAGTCAAAAAATCGTCCCCTGACTATTTTTAACTATTTTTGAATTGTTCCCCCTGTAGAGGGACGGGCCCGACTTAACACTAGAGATTCAACTTGAATGCAGATCCCGGCGGCCAGCAGGCGATGCCAGAGCCTGCCTTCGCCGAAGGTCCTCCGCCGGCCCCTCGCTTGGAACCTCCCTCGTCTACTGCGTTGGACCGAGACGCAAGATCGAGGTCGCCTCGGGGAGGGTGCCCTGATGTTCTTCGTGCTTGTTGGATGCTCTTGTGCATCTGGGGGGGAGCACCCTCGAATCATCTTATTCGAAGAAGGAGAATAATAGTAAGAAGAAGAAGAATTGGCATAATCATCAACTTGTGGCGCTCCGCGCAGATTTCTTGGATCCGCGCTGAGCCCCCCGGGCGGCGCCTCCGGCGCCGCCCCTGGCGCGCTCCCCGCACCAGGGAGGGGACCCAGCGCAGATCCAAGCATTCCGCGCGGAGCGCCAAAAGTTTACGCTTGTGCAGTTGTTGTTCTTCTTCCACTCGTGGTTTCGGGTGTTCTGGCCAGCGGAGGATCTCGTGTTCGTGAAGGATGCTCTTATGTCCTTGGTCGGGCGGTTTCCGCCGGCTTTTGAGGGCCTGCGCAGCGCTGCGTCCGAGAAAACGCGAAGCTGCTGGCCGGCGCACAGCGCCTCCTCCTCCTCCTCCTCCTCCTCCTCCTCCTCCTCCACCTCCCCCTCCCCCTCCTCCTCCTCCTCCTCCTCCTCTCCTCCTCCTCCTCCTCCTCCTCCCCCTCCTCCTCCTCCCCTCCTCCCCTCCCCTCCCCCTCCTCCTCCTCCTCCTCCTCGTCCTCCTTCTCCTCCTCCTGCTCCTCCTACATCGCTACGCGATCAGGCAGAGACTCCAGAGACTCCTCCTGCTCCTCCTCCTCCTCCTCCTCTCCTCCTCCTCCTCCTTCTCCTCCTCCTCCTCCTCCCCCTCATGCCCTTCCTTATTCTCCTCCTCCTCCTCCTCCTCCTCGTCCTCCTTCTCCTCCTCGTCCTTCTCCTCCCTTCCTCTTCCTCCTCCTCATCATCCCCCTCCTCCTCCTCCTTCTCCTCCTCCGCTGACCGAGGGTGGCTTCGAGGTGGTGGTTTTGTTTTCGTTTGCCCTCGTTTTGTCTTCAATCCGCCTTTACCGCAAAACGAAATCGAAACGAAAACGGCCCACGAAATCGCCAAAACACCGTTCCAGCCACGCTGCTGGGTTCAGTACCATTATCTTCATGCAGCGGTGCGCCGGTTGAAGGTACGCAAGGACCTAAACATTCCGAACCAATGTGTTAAGTTGTTGAACGGTGCTGCTAAGAGACATCATCAGGACCCCCACCTCCCCTAACCTAACTCCCCGGGCCGAGTTCAATTCTGAACACGAGCCAATAGAACATTGTCCTTCACGGGCCTTGCCTGGATGCTACAGTACACGCACGGTGGTCGGCAGACTGTGACCTGGTAGATATATGATGCCGCTGTTCCGCCTTGGCAGCGGCCTGCCCGCATTCGGGGTTGTCCCAGCGGCTTCTGCAACTACCTGCGCACGAACGTTTGTTATGTGGTGTCGAACCGTTGCTCATCTTCGAAAATTGTGTCAAAGAGACCATCAATGCCAGCATCATTGCTGGCTTGCTTCCAGACCTGTTCGGACAAGCGAGTATTGACGACGTCGTTATGGTGTTCAAAACGTCCTGCTGACGGCATGAATGTGGAAGTAATTCTGGCTCGGGGCTACCAATCAGTTCAGAATGTGTGGGTTTGTTTTTCGCTTATGTGTTACACCTAACGATTGCCCAGCGCTTAGCCTCGGCATCCCATGTACCCAGGGGTCTTGCAACTCCGTTTAAAGACGGTTTGTGCTGCAAGCGCACCATCTCGATTCTTAGGCTTACGCCACACCGCCGACCCCTTGTTTATGCCAATCTGGGTTATGGGTTATGGGTTATGGGTTAGAAAACGGCTCTGGGTTATGGGTTCTGGGTTATGGGTTAGAGGCGTCTTGTATGTGTAGCGGGATCTCGCGGCACGCCTCTCGGGGGCCTATGGCAGGCACTTGGGGGCCCAGGTGGAGGAAAAGGAGGAGGAGGAGAAGGGGGACACGGAGAAACGGCTCTGGGTTATGGGTTATGGGTGAGAGGCTTCTTGTATGTGTATCGGGATCTCGCGGATCGCTTCTCGGGGGCCTCTGGAAGCGAGTTTTGGAGCCACTTGGGGGCCGTTTCGGAGCCTCTGGGGTGCTTCTTGGGGGTTCCTTGGGGCGTCTGGGCGGCCTCGTGAGGGCCTCTGGGGGCCTCTTGGGGCACTCTTGGGGCCCCCTGGGGCTCCTGGGGGCAGAAAGCTAGAGTTTCAACATGTTTGGTCGCCCTCTTGGGCCCCTCTTGGTGCCGTCTTGGAGCCCTCTTGGGCCGTCTTGGGGACCTCTTGGGCCGTGTTGGGGCCGTCTTGGGCCGTCTGGAGGCCGTCTTGGGGGCCTCTTGGGCCATCTTGGGGCTGTCTTTGGGGCCTCTTTGGCCCAAGCGCACCATCTCGATTCTTTGGCAGTGTTGGAAGTGACCACCCTCACTGCCTTGCACCAGCTCCGCTGGAGCTATGATATCAACTTTATCGTCTTCTGTTACCATGTCAGCTTTGGCATGTTTGGCAAATGCGTCAACTTGGTCAGCCTGGTCAGCTGTGATCAATGTGTCAACTATGCCCTTCTGTGTCAACAGGGTCAACCGCGCTTCCTTTTCTTACTGTGCCAAGTTTGCCCTCCTTACCATCGGTGTCAGCTGTACCAACGCTGCTTTTTCCCTACCGAGGCTCTGCCTAGAAGGGCTCTTACTCGCTTGGCTTAAAGGGCCGGGCAGTGGAACCCGCCCCGGGCGGTTCCCCCGGTCCCCTGGGAGCCAAGCAAAAGCAACAGCAAAGGTAAAAGCAAACGCGCGGTTCCTCCAGTTGCGCTCCCTGGGTGCCAAGCAAAAGCAAAGTCAAAGGCAAAAGTGAAGGCAAAAGCGAAGGCAAAGCAAAAACATAGCATAGCATAGCATAGCGCAGCATAGCATAGCGCAGCATAGCCTAGCCTAGCCTAGCATAGCCTAGCCTAGCCCAGCATAGTATTGCGCAGCATAGCATATCATAGCATAGCATAGCATAGCGCAGCACAGCATCCACTATTACTGCTGCTACAACTACGACGATGAGGAGAAGGAGGAGGACGGCGTTCACCGCTCCTACTAATGTTGCTTTCCCAGAGGCTCCAACTCCTAGGTAGGGTCGCACTGTGATAATCTTGTCAGCTGCGCCATGTGCGTCAACTTCCCACCCTCTCAAGCGAACCAAGATGCAGGATGCTGCGAGGCAAGAGTGGCACAATCTGCCGGTCAGTGAGACGGTGGAACCGGCGTTTGAGTTAAAGGCAGAATATTCGGCGAGCAGCGCGGCAATTGTAAACGATGTGTTTGATGGCTCACGTCGCGGGATACCAATAATGCGAACCGCGTATCCAAGTCGTTTCCATGCTTTCTCAGGGCCCATACATTCTCTGCTGCTGTCACGGAATGCGCTTGCACATGAGTTGCACGGATGCCGGGAGTAGCAGGACAGTGATAATACATGTCTGAACAATGCGATGCGAGAGGCGGGAGAGGTGCAACCACGTAGAAGGCGTCGTTGATGGATCGGTTCGATCTCGGCGCGCGGGCGCCCAGGTGCGGATAGGGGGAGGGCGCCGCGCTTGGCCGCTGCCCTCGGTGCCCCGTGCGCCCATAGCTCGACGCGTTGAATTTAGGCTCGGGGAAGCTCGGGTCAGGGGGCCACAATCACGACGGGAAGTTCCCGCGCGCGTTCGCAGGGGCGGCGCCTCAGAGGCGCGCCTGGGTCGCGCGAGCAAGGCGCGCCGGCGACAGCGGTTGCCGCTGGTGCGTTTCTTGCCTGCGCGCTGCTGGATGGCCCGGCAGCGCGGAGAACGCTTCGTCGAAGAGCTCCTGGATTGGAGGGTCGATCCTAGCGAGCGCGAGTCCCTCTCGTCGCTCGCAGAGAGCGATTTTCTGTTCAGAGGACGAGACGGAGCAGCGCGGCGCGCCGACGGCCTGGGCCGCGGCCCCGGACGCGGCGCACGCGGCGCCGCGGCTGGCGCCCGCGCGCGGCACCGGCGCGGAGCGGCGCCTTCGCGGCGCTGCGGCGCCGGCAGCGAGCGCGGGGGCCGCGGCGGGCGATGGGCGCGGACCCCTGACAGCGCGCGGCGGGGCCTCGAAGTCGAGGCTGCTGAGGGCGAGGGGCGTGTCCCGTTGGCGACAGGCCGCTCGATTGTTTGGCGCCCGGGGGGCGGTCTCGGGCAGAGGTTGCAGCGGGCGCCGGCCGAGGTGCTCGCGGGCGTTCGGTCCGCGGCTGCGATCGGGCGAGTCGGCGACGTCGCGCGCGGCGAAGCGCGCGCGGGGGGCAGTGGGCTGAGTGGGCTGGCCAGCAGGGGCAGCCGGCGTAGCTCCTCACGCAGCGTCCCACGGCGGTCGCCGAGTTCGCCCGCCCATTCTCTACCACGCGGATTTCCGGCGTTAGGACCCGGAACAGTTTGAAGTGGATGTGCGTGCACTTCAAAGCGCCATTCTGCTTGCATGGATGATACGTTTCGGCTTGCGCCGCGCGACCCTGGCAGCGGGGCCGCGGCACCGCCGGCCTATGCCGCAGTCGCCGAACCAGATGTGGTTTCCCACTTGCGCGATTTCCCTAGCGGCGCTAGAACGCCTGGGCTAGTCGCGCTCGGGGCTGGAACGCTGGCAGCGGCAGTCGCGCGGCTGAGATGCGCGCGCCCGTTGCGCCCCAGGCCTTCGGAGGGATCACTTGATTTCCGTTTGTTCCGTGTGTCGCGGGGGAAGCAAGGGGCGCGACGGGGGCGACCCCCTTCGGTCGATTGGCGCTTGCCGAGGCGGATAGGGGGCGCGCGACCCGTTGCAGGCCCTTTGCGGGGCGGCCGGCACGCGCTGGCGGCGCGGGAAGATCGCGCCGGCAGAGTCGCGCTGGTGAGGGGTGTTTTTGACCCGGCCTCAGGCGCGCCAGCAAAGCTGGGCGGCTTCTTCAACCCGTCGTTGAAAGAGGCGTTCGGAGGCCGGCTAGCGGACGATCCCCAGCTGGATCTTGCAATATCGCACGGCTCGCGTCGAGCGGGGCCTGCGCGCGCGAGCGCCGGCGCGGCCGCGGGCGGCGACGTCGACCGCCCGCGAGAAGGCCGCGTTCTTGCCGCGATTTGTCGACGACGGGGTTGCGGCGGCAGAGGTTTCCGCGGTTGATCATTGCTCCGCGGGTTCCGCAAGTCGGGCGCGGGAAAGCGCCGGGCGCGCCCCCGCCCGAGCTTCGGTCCCCCGATAACCTTACCTTGATTTGAAAGTATTTCTAAGCTGTGGTATTTCGATGTGGTCGGCTTAATTATTCTAGCTCGGGCGCCGCCGTCTCCCGAGGTTAAGCCTTCGAGGCCCCGAACGATTAAATTGCACCCGAGGCGCGCGCCCGAGCACATTCATGCATAGTAGCAACATCATGTGCTAGCATTCCGTAGCATGGCATCACATGTAATAGAGTACCATACCAACATATGCAATAACAGATAATGGCATGCAACAGCTCATCTTCCACCTCCCCACGTTTCGTCGATGTTTCGACGGCGTGCGCGGCCGCCGATCAAATGCCCCACGGCGTCGCGTACAGTTGCATTGTGTTGGATTGTATAATTTGCTTGTTGGCGTAGTTAATCAGGTTGCTCGGGACACCCCCTGGAAAGTAAGTTGTCCCCCAAAGGCCCACGAGAGTCTCCAAATCCTCTTCATTGTCTGCCTTCTCCCCCTTCTCGTAGACTTCCCTATCAACGCATCATTCCATTAAATATACGGCGATAGTGGCGATAATAAGTTGCTGAGGTTTTATGGGGCAAGGAGAAGTCAGTCCAACGTTCAAGTTGAGTGCGCCCCTGGCCAGCCCCGCGGGGCTGGGCGCCGCTGCGGCGCCCCTGGCGGAGTCTGGCTCCACGGCAATCAACGAGCGGTTGCCATTCGGCAAGCGCACACAGTATAGATGGATATCAGCGTTGCTGCACGCACATGTTGTCACACTGATAAGGACAGATACTACACTTGATCATTGCCAAGATGACCACTGGGCGGAGCCGCCTTAATTCCGCCACCTTGTAATTTATGTACAACTTGCACGTGAATTGTGAGTCCCCCCCCCCCACGCGGTTGCCCCAGCGTGAATATTTGCATTGATTTATGATGAGGGGACAAGAGACGGGAGGGCGCAAGTTAAGTTGCAGGGGGGGAGGTGTGTTAGGCCACCTCGGGGGACGATGACCTACGCTTAGTAGGAAAAAACTGCCGAAGCAGCCGATCGCGCTCTATGCGCCCGGGCCCTCAGTTGGGGCTGCAGCCGCCGCTCGGTGCCCACGCCGACGACGAGCTCCCTCCTGGACCAACAGCGCCAAGCTGCGGCGGTGCCTGCTTCCACCGCGCCCCCTTCCACCACGGATTGAAGGAACAGTCCGCGATGTAGTTCCAGCGCCAGATCTTTCGGGAGTGGAGGGGGGGCGGGAGGGAGGGATGGGCCTCGGGGGAGGATCGGCGTTCCTCCGCCAGGGCCCATCCCCCCCCCCCGCCCTCCAGCCCCCCTCCCCCCTCCCATGATGGCCTCCTTCCACCCCGTCAGCTTGAACCTGCGCGGCACGATGGCCAGGCACCTCCAACGTACCTGGCGATCGGCCGACGAGGACGACCGACGAGGACGACAATTGGGCACTGGCATGCCCTGCCACAGGTCGTCGTACTCCGCGGGCTACGCCTTGGTGAACGTCCGGGTGGTCTCGTTGTAGCCGCACCTCCCCCCCCATGGCCCCGGGGTGTCGTTTGGGGGGCTCTCCCCCAATACCCTCTCATTATCCCTTCACTCCCTCCTCGCCCCCCCCCTCCCTCCTCTTCTGGGGCACCGCGCGTTGGTGGTGGAGTCCATCCACTCGTGGTCGAACTCCTCCGTCAGGGCCGCCATGGCGGCTGGTTCAGCAGGGCCCCCGGGCGCCGAGCGCGCGCCCCCTCTAGGAGGCCTGAACAGATCTGAGCCTTGACGAATGCGGCGGCCGAAGCAGCCACGGCCGAAGCAGCCTGGGCCTCCATGATGGCCGATGCAGCCACGGCCGAAGGCCCCCCCCGTCCATCCATCCCCCATCCCTCCCCCCTCATCGTCATCGCTTCGACGCTGCGGCTTCTCGATCTAGAGAGCTGCAGGCAGGTGGGCCAATGATGGCTGCCTCGGCCTTGTTAGATACCCACTGGGCGACCTACGTAATCACTTCGCCAGAGACATCCCACGAGTTCTGGCCGCCCACGAAGCCCCCGTTCCAGACGTCCCCCAACTCTGCGCAACCAACATTTCGCCTGAGACATCCTCAACAAGCTTGTACAAAACAAATGTATCGCTTGGGACGTCCTCACAATTCATTGGCTGCCTCGGCCAAGCCCCCCCCCTGGCCGGTTCGGCCACTGGCCGCCGCGCGCACCCGGGGCGGATGGATTGGAGAGGGGATGGGTTGGAGAGGGGAGACATGGAGGGATGGATTGGAGAGGAAAGAGGAATGGAAGGATGGATGGAGAGGAAAGAGGAATGGATGGATTGGAGAGGAATTGGAGAGGAATGGATTGGAGAGGACAGAGGAATGGCGATGACGATGGTGATGTTTGATTTCACGCTAAAGCCGAAGCAGCCGAAGAGCCAATCCGGTCGTGGCCGAAGCAGCCGAAGAGCAGGTCCTTAAGCTTACTCGCATGGGTCGACTGGCGCGTACTCCCCGTAGCTCAGACCGAGCACGTCGCTGCTCGATTGGAACGGCCCCATGATCTGCGGCGAAAAGCCCGCGACCAAGCTCTGTATCGTGATGAGGGTCGCCATGAACTTGCGCACCGCCCTTATCTGGGAGTCGAGGTGGGCGATAATCTGCGCGCGCCACTTCATGACGATCCCGCGCTCCAGAATGTGCGGGTCGTTCTGGTGGATCTGCAGCAATAACTTGTGACCCGCCAGTTGATTGGCTTGTAGGCCAGCAACTCCTTGTCCTGCTCAAGCTTCTCTGAAAGCTTGCGCAGCATGGACGACGCACGGTTCAGGTGAAGCGTCGCCTTGCCAAGTAGCACCGCTGGCCCTGCGGATGGCGCAATGTCCTGCCAGCATTTGCAATCAGCGGAGATGTCATCGCAGGAGATGAGCTGGTTCGGAGCCTCAGCGTTGCAAGTGTTACTGGCAGACCCGATAGACCGCATCAGCTCTGAGTACATGACTTCAGCGGTGCAGCGTCGAAACAGAGGTGCCGAAACCATCGAGCCGAAACAGCTGATCGTCGGAGGGTCGCTGAAAGTAGATAAGTGCCCGACACGTTCCCGTGGGTAGTGAAGATATTCATGGGCGGTTCAATTCTGGTTCTGGCCCACGGTGGTCGGCTGGGCGAATGACGATGATGAGGGCGAGGAGGTGGAAGGAGGGGGAGGGGGGGGGGAACTCGGATGGGGGGGCGGACGAGGACGGCGCTTTTGCACAGTGCCAGGTCGGGCCAGCCGAGGCGCCCGCGGACCGATGATCACAACGGCCGCCTTGCGCCAGCCGAGGCCTCCGCGGGCCCATGGCACCCAGCGGCCGCCTCCCGGGATGCACGCCCGGCCCTTGCGGCAGGGCATGGCGAATTAAGTTCGGCCGAAGCAGCCGTTCACAAAAACCTGCTGGAAAATCTACGCCGCGTCATGCTGCCAGCGCCGCTGGGTCGCGGCCCCCAGTTCCTGCCTGTAGGAGTCGCAGCAGGACCTACAGGCCTCGCAAATGCAATGGCGCCCCAGTTGGTTTTTACCGCACCACTTGCACATCGGCAGCGATGGCGCGGTTGATCCTTGCGGTGGCCTGTCGCCTGCCGCGTAGCGTGCAGCACGAGCTGCTTTCTTATTTAGCCAGGCTGGCGCTTGTCGATTGCTTTGCTTCCACTCAACCCAAGCAGGAGGCGCGGGTGGTGGTGGCTGCGGCGGCACTGGCACGCTGCAGACATGCGGCTGTGGCATGCTGAACTGGGCGTGCTGCGCCGTGGCCGCATTGTGCGCCGCACATTGTGCGGCTTGTGCAGCCACAGTTGCAGCGTCCTCCGCTTGCATCACGTCGTTACGGAGTGCTGCTACCGTCGCGTTTAGCTGTTTGATCTGCTCTTCGTAGGCTGCCTGGCAGGCGCTGCCTGGCATGCTTCCTGGCAGGCTGGTATGTGGGCTGCCGCCGCCGCCGAGCGCTGGCCGTGGGGATCCTGTGTCTGGCGAGCCAATGCCAACACCCTCCTCCTGTGGAAACTCGTCGGCGTACTCCTCCGCGGGCTGACCTGCGGGCTGCTGCCACATGTCGGCATCTTCTGGATAGCCCGCGGACGGCCACGACATGTTGTCAGATTGATGATGGTCGTTGGGCTGCTGCGGGTAATAATACCACGCCGTGCCAGCATCATTAATCTTATTATTGACCCATGTGTCCGCCTCCTCCACTTCGTCGTGCATGCAGTCCGTGGCGGGATGATGTTGTTGATACGGCTCCGCGGAGCACTGACCGCCACGAGCATCGTCCGGGGCGTCGCCCGTCTGTGGCGTTACGTCCTCGGGCTGATAGAACATAAGTTTAGACCCATTGCACATGTCGATCACTTCTTGTGCGGACATATTCCCAGGTTGTTTGCGAGGTGGCCCCTCCTTCCGAATTGCCGCCCAAAGCTCGTACCTGCACGGCAGGTCGAAGTAGTTGGCCAGCTCAAACCAGTTGCTGATATTGTGCAGGTGGGTCGCCATGGCCGCCATGGCCTCGTCCGGGAGAGCATTCATCCACCATGGCGGTTCAGTTTCCTCGTGCTTGGTGAACTGGAAGAGCGCGCCAGGCGAGCCATTATCGTAGGATGCGATCGTTTTGCATGCGTTCTGGCCCGTCTGGTCCAAGAGCACGGAATACAGGCACTCTGGATCGTTGTCAAGCATGTGCGTGATCCCGGCCCGCTTTGCAGGAATCCCTTTGCCACACCAGCCGCTCTTCTTCGACGTGATGGAAATCTGGTGAGCTTCCATGCCGAGGTGCATGATGCCACACTGCCTGAGGAACCTCACGACGTAGCACTCGATCTCATTGCCTCGGTGCCAGGAAGTCAATTTCCCTGTGTTTGTTCGAGAAATCACGTGAACAGCGTTGGTTCCATATTTAGCCATGAACAGCGCGAGGAACGAGTAGGCGCCGTCTGACATTGATTGCCAACAGCCGTCACCTCGGGGTTGCGAATGCAAACCGTTGCGCCAGCACTAGGTGTAATTAACATCGTTAATTACACCTTTTGTGGCACGAGGCATGCATTCCAACCCGACACCGTCTGCTGGCACACCCTTCTTGCTCAACACTTGGCCCACATCGATGCCGAGCTTCGGCGCCTCCGCATGCTGTGGACCGCCGTGCCCCCAGTCCATGGGGCGCGCCAAGGGTGCGCCGAAGCAGCGCTGGTTAAGCCCAACTATGGCAATTTAATGCGGAGGAGGAGGAGGAAGGGGAAGTGTGCGCCGTCTTGGGCCATTGTGGGCCATCCTGATGAGAACGTCATGGGCCGTCTTGGATCCTCCTGGGCTGCCTCGGCGCATCTCGGGCCGTCCTGGGAATCATTCTCGGGGCTGTTGGCGCCTCGCAGGGGCCTATGTGGGTGAATGGCGGGCGCGGGATGGACAGCGGGGTATGGGGTGAGTGGAACCACTGCCACTTTGGCTCATAACTTATTAACGGCTTGATCTCTCTCTCTCTCTCTCTCTCTCTCTCTCTCTCTCTCTCTCTCTCTCTCTCTCCCGAGGAGAGAGAGAGAGAGAGAGAGAGAGAGAGAGAGAGAGAGAGAGAGAGAGAGATCCGACACGGGGCCATCTGGCCACTACTACCAATTCGACGGAGGGCAATGACGAGCCACACGCGAATCCTCTTCGACCTCCCGACCCAGCGCGACGCAGTCGAGAACGCGCTCAGGGACGAGACGCAGCAGTCAACCATCACAACCGCGAAGGGCAGGTTCTGGGCCTACTTCATGGAGCTGAACACGCGGCTGCCAGTGACGACTACAGCGCGGGTCGACCCCCGCACGCTGGACATCATGACCCAGGGTGCGACGATCAAGAATACGATCACGAAGGAGATGTCGGAATACTTCGGCGCCGAGTCTGAGTTGAAGATCTACAGGTGTTACGGGCAATCCCTTATGGAGATCCCATTGGCGACGACGAACTCGTGGACCTCATCCAGTGGATCTACGTCCGCAAGACCGACGGCGGCGACGGCGGCGACGGCGACGCCAGCTCCGACACTCAGCCTGAGCACCCGGCCGTCAACATACCCGAGATCGAGACGTGGGCGAGGTACAACGACGAGTGGAAGAGGGTGATGTTGCCGAACCTCGATGGGGCCCACGCAGGGTCGCCTATTCGTCAACGTGAGCCGCTTGAAACGCAGGGCGCTCGAGGAGTTCGGGTTCACGGACATTGACGAGCTCATCCTCAGGGCCGCCGACATCCACTACAACGACGGGGGAGATGCGGCGTTCCCAGCGCTCAGGCTCAACGAGCGCGTCATTCACCGCAAATGGTACTCGCTGGTCGTCGACAGGACCATGGTTGACTGCGCGCTCGAGGGTGAGCAGTGAGGTGCCACGGCTTTTTCGGCGCGGCTGTTTCGGCTGATTCGGACGCCCCGGGGAGCTTGCGGGCGACGGTGCAGCCATTTGCGCCTTTGGGAGTGCCACCACTTGTTGGCGGCCGTCGCCTGCGTAGCCCAGTGTTAAAACGTTGCACAATCAACATATGTTTTACCCGTGCGTTCATTGGGGCAGCCTGGAGAGTGCTATATTCAAGCCCCAAGCCAAGGATCGCGCGAGGGAGGGTGGGTTTGTCAAGTGCACCCCCCGATGCACTTGCGGTAGAACATGTTTTTGGCGAGCTTCCCCCTCCCTCGGCCGTCCCTCCAGGGTGGGCTGGCACTGGTTGAGGTCCAGGTATTTGTCTGTGCCAATGTCAGGAAGCCCCAGGCGAGAGCCGCATCTTGCAGAGGGTCCGCCATCCATCCACGCAGCTGGCGCACATCGTTGTTCTAATCATATGCTAAGATCCCGATGTCTCATAACAACTCCACGAGACGACGCGCCCGTAGCCATTCGGGTCAGTTTGATTTTCTGGCGCAGCAAAACCGCATTCAATTCACTACCCCACTTCCGTGGACACCAGGGGAGACGCCATGGGCAAGCGCGGCCAGGCGACGAAGGAGAAGCCCGAGCCGAGAACGCGCCCGAGGATCCAGAATAAGACCAGCGCCGCCGGGGCGGAGGCCGCCGCGGGCGAGATGGGACAGCGATCTAGCAACGAAAACATGGTTCGCACCGTGATCAACGAGGTCCACGATGCGTTAAGCAAGATCGCGGAGCACCCGGTGTTCAAGGACATCGTTGAGCAGGAGCCGAAGACCATGTCGGATGGAGGCGCCCAGGCGCCATTCAAGCAGGCTGACATGAACGCTGTGCTGAAAAGAGATGGGCCTGGCCTTTTTTACAAATGCGGCTTCAATTTTATGTGGCAGAGCTTCACGTGGATGTGCAACCACCGCGCGCCCATCAACAAAGGCCAGATCAAGGAGCTCCAGAGGTTCGCCTTGGGCCCAGGCACATTCCCTTCGAGACGGGGATTGCGTTGGACTCAGCCACGCAATGCGTGATGGGTGCGAAAGGTGCCTTGCAGCGCTTGTCGCCCCCGGAGCCCGCCTTCGCGGTGATCTTCAGCATCGGGGATGCAATAATTCAAGAAACTGGCGATGACGTGTTAGGGAAATGGCACCACGCGCTGTTGACGGCGTCGTTCAGGCTCGAGCTGGCGACATCAGGGGGCGATCGGCATTGGAGGGCCCAAAACCTCCGACAGGAAGCCATCGAGATGGGCATCGTGCCCCAATTGTCCGTCCGCCAGTGGATCTACGACGTCGTCGGCTTCAAGGCTTCCAAAGAGAAGGACCTGGGCAGAGAGTTGGGCAGCGCTCAGGTCGCGAAGTACTACCATGAGAAGATGAAGTACGCCAGGGGGACGGAGGGAGTCAGCGCGTCTTTCGTCGACAGCGCCCTCACCGTGCACAGGAGGGCCCTCAGCAACGAGACGGCGCGCCAGTGGCTCGAGTGGTGCGACGAGCACCTGATGGAGAAGAGCCCGTGGAGCAAATCGATTTATGAGTTGCAGGCCTTGGTCGACCGTGCGCAGACGACATCTCGCATTACCTGGGCCATTTGCGGCCTCACGGATCTCTACCGCATGGACTAGGGGTCGAATTCCATGCCCGGGAGGGGGGGCGACTAAGCAGAATAAGGCTTTGGCGTTGAAAACCATGGTGTAAACATGTTAGACCAGTATTTTGATCTTGAGGGCCGAGGCAGCCCAAGGGGAAGCGGAGCTACGGGGGACAGGATGTATTAATGTTGGTTGGTTGCGTGTCTTGGGTTGGCCTTGGCCTGTCACACTGCCTGTGAGTAGCCCCCCCCCCCCCCCAGGGCTCTATCACCACGGGGGAGTTCACGATCAGCAGGATGAAGGACTACAGGCAGAGCTACATCGAGGTCCTCAACCTGAAGCGCGCCATGCGCGATGAGTTGCTCCAGACGCGGTTGCCAGGGATCGGTCTGCCAATGGGGCACGTTAAAAAGATGCAGGAGGCGTTCGCCGATTTTCCGAACGTGCGCGCGTCTGTGACAGGCTACCCCGACGAGCCCACGGTGGACTTTACGTGGATGGTCGGATGGCCCCCATCCTCGGTGGTGGCATGCACCTTTCCGGAAGAGTGTATCTACACTTGCTCCTATGACGGCCGCTACAGGGACGCTGTAAAGTCGAAGGCGAAGGTTGCTGACATCTTGGAGTACGAGAGCGTCAAGCGCGAGATCGACGAGATCGCCGCGACTCTGGCCCAAGAGCGATCCGCTGCAGCGGCGGCGAGATGAGAGACCCCTGCAGTGGACCCAGCTACGCCAGCCCCGACAACTGGTACGACAACCGAGACTCCAGAGTCGGAGGGCTTTCACAGCATGGAGCAGAAGGACCAGGAGTATTGGGAGAAGATCATCAAGAAGCATGTCCACACGCACGTGGACATCATCGTCGAGAAGCAAACGGCCGCTGAGCTGGAAAACGCAATTCGCGGTTCCACTCTGGCGGGCATCAGGGGCGATCCGATTGGTCTCGTGCTGTTTCATTTCGACGTCAAGCAGAGCGGCGAGCCCTTAATTCGCCCGGAGCTGCGGGTCGCCCCCCTGCGCGACGCGAACTACCACAGGCTGGCCAGGACCGTGCTGAACGCGCGTGCCCCGGCTGGCGGCACCCCTTGTCTACGATCTGGTGAAGTGGCTATCCTGCTAGACGGCGGCAGGAGTGGCAACTCCAATAAACTGATTGCCCCGTGGCGCGAGGGGACTTCGAAGGACATGAAGAAGCAGGACGATGATGATGAGGATGAAGAGGATAAGGAGGACGACCCCGACGACGAGGACGGAACTGAGGTCCTGACCTTCACCCCCTCTGTCATCAACATCGTCTACTCCGAGGCCAGCATCGCCAACCGCCGCAAGAAGTTGCGCAGCTGCACAGGTGGCCTTCACCAGTCCGACTGTGCTCACATGCTCTCACATACGAAAGTCCCCTTGCCAGAGAGGTCACGGAAACACTATCCTGGAAGCACGTCGGGCGACACAATCATGGGTGTCGAGGCGACCGAGGCCGCAAAGGAGTGGACCATGAGTTGGTCGGACAAAAAGGCGCTCTACGGCAAGAAGAACCTCATCGCCGTCGGCGGCAAGACGAAAGGCGCGAGCCCGGACGACGTGGTCGAGCGCAAGACGGACTCCACGCAAGTGCCAGTCACGCACCACGGAATGCCCCCCGCGTGGTACGACGAGCTCATCCACATGTTTTTCTTGAAGGCCATCGTGGACTTGACGCCGCTGGACGCCAAATTCGCTTGACAGGCGGCGCTCAACCGCGTGGGGCACGTCGGCACCGCTTTCACCGAGGAGCACAAGACTATGATCTACGCGAGGCTCGTCGAGCAGAGGAAGACCGAGATGTGCCAGACGGGCCCCGAGCTCTACAACGCCCAGTACGCGAAGGAGGCAGGGCTCACCGAGACGCCGCCCCCAGCGCCACCGCCGAACCCCAAGCGCCGCCCCCGGCGCAAGCCCGTGGCGGCTCCCACGGCTGAGCCAGGCACTGGCGGGGATGGCGAGCCGCTCAGCCTGAGAATGACAATCCTGAGCCTGAGGATGATGGTCTTGTTGGTGATCCCGATCCTGAGAACGCCTGGGATCCCTTTGCATGATGCGGCATGCGTTGCCAGCTGGTTCGGCTGTAGCTGTGTTTTTCGTGTTGCAATAGGTCATGAGGACCATGGTGTGCAGCATGGTTGAATGAGGTGGACGGTGGAAGGGGTAGGGTGATTAGAAGGGGGACCGACGATTGAGGATCCATCACCTTATTGTTTTTCGTAGGATGCATTTCGCCAACATGGTGATCTGCCATCGCCTGGCTGATTCGGCCTCTCTTGCACGTCTGGGGAGAAGTCGCCCGGATGCTGTGAGTGAAAACCAAAACAACTATGTGCGTAATGGCATGCGTTGTCGTTATTATCTAATGGCCTTCGGCCCATTCCGCCACCGTGCCTGGATTGAGGGGTCTCTTCGGAGGGCTTTCGAGGCCTCTTGGGGGCAGTTTTGAAGCCGCGTTCGTGGCTCCAGGGGCTTCCTGGGGGCTTCTTGGGGGCCTCTTCGGGCCTCTTGGGGACTTAAAAGTTTGCCGACCTCCCGAGGGATTCAAATGCGCGTCGCATTTATGGTTGGGGTTCGACATCCAGTGTCGCTTCCAGAGCTGCGAGAGGAGAGGACTAATAGACCCCTCCACTCGCAGCTCAAGGACGTCCTTGAGCTGCGAGTGGAGAAGTCTGTTAGTCCTCTCCTCTCGCAGCTCTGGAGGCGACCTTGAGACGTCGGGCGGCCCCCGAGGGCCGCACCGAGCCATGCAAGCATGATTCGACTGGGCTCCCGAGGAGCCGACGGGGGCGAGAGGCCGTTTCGAGGACGTCCCCGAGCTGCGAGACGCCACTTTGAGGACGTCCCCGAGCTGCGAGAGGCCAACTCGAAGACGTCCCCGAGCTGCGAGAGGCCACTTCGAGGACGTCCCCGACCTGCGAGAGGTCACTTCGAGGGACTCTCGCAGCTCGGGGACGTCCTCGAAGTGGCCTCTCGCAGCTCGGGGACGTCCTCGAAGTGGCCTCTCAAGCTCTCGGGGGGCGCCCCGCCTCTCGCAGCTCGGGGGCGCCCCGAGCTGCGAGAGGCCACTTCGAGGAGAGTCTGTCACACCCCGGGGTCGCCTCTCGCAGATCGGGGACGCCCCCGAGCTGCGAGAGGCCACGTCGAGGAGAGGTATGTTAGACTTCTCGCAGCTCGGGGGCGTTTTCAAGGACGCCCCCGAGCTGCGAGAGGCCATTTCGAGGACGCCCCCGAGCTGCGAGATGCCAGTTCGAGGGCGCCCCCGAGCTGCGAGAGGCCAGTTCGAGGGCGCCCCCGAGCTGCGAGAAGCCATTTCGAGGGCGCCCCCGAGCTGCGAGAGGCCAGTTCGAGGGCGTCCCCGAGCTGCTGAGAGGTCATCGCGCAGCTCGGGGACGTCCTCGAAGTGGCCTCTCGCAGCTCGGGGACGTCCTCGAACAAGCCTCTCGCAGCCCGGGGACGTCCTCGAAGTGGCCTCTCGCAGCTCGGGGGCGTCCTCGAACTGGCTTCTCGCAGCCCACGCGCGCAACTAAACAGCACGGCATACTTGGGCGTGGAATGGCAGCGGGCCAAGAGGCGAGGCAAGGGGGAGGGGGGGGGGGGGGGCAAAGACGAGGAGGCAGTGAAACTGTCAGAAGCAATGTAGCATTGAGAATTCACAACCCCACTATGTCGGACAAATGACGGGGGAGGCGCTGTAGAGTTAGCGGCCCCCGAGAAGCACTGCGGGGTTAGAATTCCCCGAGAAGCACTGTAGAGTTAGCGCTCCTCGAGAAGCACTGTAGAATTAGCGTTCCCTCTCAGCAATCGCGCTCAGAAGGTGGGGGGGGGGTCTTGGATGGCTGGCAGCGGCGAGGCTCGCAGCCGCTCGCTCGCTCGCTCGAATCCGCAGCCGCCCGCTCGCTCGCTCGAATCCGCAGCACAAACATCAGAGCTAGCGCCTCCTTCTCCCATTCCTCCTCGTCAACCATGGCCCGACCTCCCCCCTTCCCCATGGGCCGCATCTATAGCTGCATCGGCACATGCCATTTAGGACCACAGAGCGGCTCGCCCGGGCTGGCGCGACCAAGCGATGGGGCCCGCCCGGGATGGCACGACGGCGCCGCCCAAAACTACGGTTAAGGTGCGCCGCCCACGGCGCCCGAAAGTAGTCAAGCTTAGCAGTGATTTTACAGGCTTGGACCCAACTTCAGTTGCAATGCGGCGCATGGGCGTGCCAGTCACGAACGTCTTCGCCAGCGACTCGGCCAAGCCCTGCCAGAAGGTCATCAAGGCTGTGCACAATCCTGGCAAGTTCTTCACAGACATAACAGAGCGCACCCCTGAAGAGGAAGAGGATACTGACGTCTACACGTGGACGCCACCGTGCCAGGATTTAAGCCAGAACGGTCTTCGTCAAGGAGTCAATGGGCCAAAGCAGACTGGCCAGCTTATCAAGAAGGCCATGCAGTACATCAAAAACAAGAAGCCCAGGGTGTCGATCTTCGAGAACGTTTTCACGATGACCCACAAAAGGCTCAAGCCCGTGCTGGATGGCATCGTCAAGGGCTTGATCAGCATCGGCTACACTGTGAACTACAGCGTGCTCGATTCACGCGACTACGGCATTCCACAAGATCGTCGCCGGGTGTTCGTGGTGGCCATCAGGACAGACGCCATCAAACATCCATTCAATTGGCCCGAAATCACCAAGCCGTGCCCCAGCATCAACACGATCTTGGACGCGTGGAAACCCACCGACAAGGCGGGCCGTCTGCCTACGGTCCAGCGCCAGAAGGATGCGTGCAAGACGGCCTACAAGGAGTGCTTCGACTACGGGCGCGACCCTCGTTCCACGCCCACCCATCCTGGTTGACGTCGACGCTTCGCCTACATTCGCAACCCACGGCATCGACGAGGCCAAGACCATCACCAGGTCAAGGGGCGGAGATGGTGGGCCTTGGATTTCTACGAGGGGGCGCCGCACAACCCCGACTGAGTTGATCAAGCTACAGGGATTCGAGCTGACTGATATCCCGTGGACGGCGCTGAAGATCAGCCAGCGCCAGTTGGGCCAGCTCATCGGCAACGTTGTTTCCGTGGACACGATTGGGGCAATTCTCGAGGAGGCCCTGTGGAGCTCAGGTCTGGTCGATAAGAAGGCGCCTTGCCCGCGTGGAGCGAAGCATCCGCCCAGGCCACCACCGCGCAAGCCTTAGTTGTTTTAGTTGTTTCGGCTGTTTCGGCCGAGTGCTGCGCACGCCCAGCTGCACGGTCAGCCGAATCAGCTCCGACCTGCAGGAGGAGGGTGGGGGAAAACACACACTCGTCATCCAGCATTCGTTCAGAAAACCTATGTATACCTGTCGGTTGCCGCCCGACGTTCTTTACATGTGAAGTTTGACCCTCCAAAGCGCAGAGTGCGATTGGACGTTCAGACCTGGCGATAGGGCACTCGGGTTACCACTGAGAGGAGCAGGGGGAGGAAGGGGGGGGGGAACATGCAAAACACAATCTCTAGCCAGCATTCGTTCTGAAAACTTATGTATACCTGTCGGTTGCCGCCTGACGTTCGCTTACATGTGAAATTCGGCCCCTCCAAGGTGCAAGGTGTAGTGAGAGCATCAACACTAATGTGATTGGACAGTCAGATCTGGCGATGGATCCCATCGGGTTGCCATTAAGGGGCGGGTGTGTGTGTGTGTGTGTGTGGGGGGGGGGGGGGGGGGCTGAACAACATGCAAGTCCTCTGCCGCTCGCCATGCGGGCTCAATTCTTCGTCGCAGCACGTCTGCTTGGAGCAAGTAATGGTCCTCAAGTTGGGGGCTGCACACGACGGCCGCGGCAAGTGGAAACGAAAGTATTCAGCATGGGCGAATAGGTTCCCCATAGACCATGCGCAGCCAAAGTTGTGCACGTGGCTTGATAGCAAGTGGGCGAAAGGCTTGGGCGTGGGTTGCAGCGTCTGCCGGGCTGCTGGCTTCACCACGAACCCTTTCGGCGCGTGCGAAGTTAGATCAGACGGCGCCACACAAGTTTGCAGTTTACAGAAGCACGCTCAGTGTGCCGAGCACAAGGCTGCCGTGGCAGCGTTCCTAGCTGGAAACCTTGATGATGCGGTGGACTCAGTGATGTGCCCGAAGTGGGACGAATTTAAACATGTTGCCGATGACATCGTTGCAGGCGGAAGTTTGGGCCATGGGACTATTATGCGTCGGAGAATCTTGTGGTGCTTGAAGGAGGCCTTGTGCGCTGATGACAGAGAGGCTTTAAAGTCAGCTAGAGCGATATGTTTGTTTCGGGATGAGCGAGAAGGTCGGCTGGTTGTGAGATGCCGAGCTGTAAATCAGAATTTGGATGAGTTCAGTGGCACTTTGGGCCAGGAGAGAGACTTCGGAACTGGTGCCACTAAGATTACGGAAGCTACCTTCAGAATCATAGAGCGAATGTGCACTAAGTTCAGTGACTCACCGAGACTCTTGTCGTGCAACCCCCACGTTGATGCCGAGCTTGATGGCCCTTGTTCGGGGGAGTGTCACGTGCATCACCGTCGACTCAGCTGGAGATGAATTTCTCGCGGGTGAAATGATGCGCAACCGATCACTTGTTCAGACGGAAAGTTCATTCACGCCAAACCTTAAGTTCGTGCTGCGCGACTCAGCGCACGCCTCGCGGCGCATCATTTCGCGACCCTGGAACGCAGACCCATACTTGAGATATGTAGC